GAATGCCAGCCTGCCCGACAACCTGTGGGAGGCGCAGAAGGCGGCGCGCCAGGCGGTGCTGGCGGCGGCTGCGGTGGGGCGGTGATGCCTGCTGCGCATGAACTCCTGCTCCATCCTTTGATGTGGTTTGATGTAGTTTAATACTAAAATTTCCCTGTAATAGCAGGCATGCCGAACTGGCAGGAGGAGAGCGGCACGGTGTTGCCATCGCGGTGCCAGCCTGGCGCTATGAGAGGAGGGCGGACAACCTTGTGATCTGCTCACGCTGTGGGAAGCTTACACAATTACGTAGCCTGCCTCACATTCTCGGTTGGAACCCAGCCTGGCCACGACAACCTTGCAACGCTACAGCCTCCGCACATCTGCTGCGTGTGTCCTCGGCGGACGCCAGATGGCAGGCAGCAGCCAGCGGGCGCCATCCAAGGCTGGTGGCGGCGGTGGCGGCGGCGAGCGGCAGGACGACCGCGGCACCGCCCTCAGCCAAGAGATGGCTCAGCACCTGCGCCACGACCCGCCTGATGGTGAGGAAGCGCCCGCCACTGCACGGGCCCTCGCCCGAGGCATGAGCCCGCCGACAACCCCTTGCCTGGTCCCGCCACGTTCCCCGCCTGGAGCGGCGCTTGGCTTCCTCTCACACAGCGCCTCTCTTCTTTGCCCGCGGGCGCAGGCATGGACGGGTGCGGATATGTGCCTGTGGGGGCGCTGGTGCGCAAGATGGAGCAGGAGACCAGCGAGGAGGAGATCAAGGCGATTGCGGAGGCAGACGACAAGGTGGGGGGCACCGCCTGCCCGGCTGCTGCGCAGCACGACGAGGCTTTCCCCGTGCAGCTAAGCCGCATCAAGGCTTGTTGCTGCTCCCCCCTGGGGCCTGCCGCAGGGGCGCTACCAGCTGGGAGAGGAGGGCGATGGCAAGCTGCGAGTGCGGGCGGTGCAGGGGCACTCAGGTGCGGTTAGGGCCGTCGGCCAGCACTGTGCCTGTTCTTATGCAAACATAACAAGTTTAAGCTTATCCCACATCCTGCCGCCCGCGTGCAGTGCCCCTCAAGAACCCGCCGCATTACCCGATCAGGTCAGCTGAGGAGTTGCCGCTGGCGCTGCACGCCACCAGCCCCGAAAAGTGAGCGGTGGCTGCCTGCACAAACAGGGTGGCTGCCTGGCGCAAAGCAGATGAGGAGCAGCGGCAGCAGCAGACGCAGGCCCTGCCGGGCATGCAGGCGGACTACCGGGCATGCAGGCGGACTGCTGATGCCATGCCAGCCAGTCCCTGCTCCTGGAAAACACCTGCAGCTGGGAAAAGATTCAGGAAAGCGGAGAGCTGCAGCGCATGAGCCGCACACACATCCACTTTGCGTCTGAGCCCAAGCACCTGCGCAACGATGACTGGGTGTGCGTGCTGTGCCAGGCACGCTGGCTGTTACCATGGGTGGGCCCCGGATGTGCCTGCCTTCACCAGCGCAATGTGCAGGTGGCAATGCCAGCCGTTGCCGCAGCTTGGACGTTCCTAGTAGCTGCAGTGCCTGCCTGCTGAAGCCTGGTGGTGTGCCCGCTCCTTGCCTCACTGGCCAGGCGCTGCACCCGCTCCCAGGTGGACCTGCGCGGCGCCATCCAGGCGGGCATCCCCTTCTGCCGCGCCGCCAACAACGTGGTGCTCAGCGAGGGCCCCATCCCGCTCCAGTTTGTGCGCCGCATCCGGGTGCGGAGTCGGGTGCCGTGGATGGGGCCGCGACGAGCAGTTGTTGCAGCTTGCTGTACAGGCAGGCCGCCTGCATCCACCTCGGCTCTCTGTGCGCTGCGTGCTGTGCAGCTGCGCGACCTGCCAGAGGAGTGGCAGAGGGCGATTCCCAACCGTGACAGTCTGATGGAGAAGGAGGAAGAGGAGGCGCAGACGGGCGGCTTCGGGAGGCGGCAGTAGGCGGAGGATGCCTCGATGGTGGCGTGCTAGCCTGTGTTACAGTCACCCCGCTATGATAGGCCGCGTGAGCAGACCTTGGGCAGGGGGCACACGTGATCAAGGGGCATCAAGAGAGGGGGTGGACCATGGAGCACCCTCTCCATGGCTCCGACCACCCTCCCCCCAGCTGAGCGTCCCAGGGTCACCCCACCCTGGCCCCGCTCCCCGTCCTGCCGGACACGCAACCCCCACAACGTGGTGGGGGACGTGGGGATCCTTAGCAGCTTAGGCCTGCCAGGCCGACGGGTGCCGATGCTGGTGCGGGCTCCCGGCGGCAGGCAGCGCCGCCGCCGGGCACTCAAATGGCATGGGGCACATGGGCCCCCATGCCCGCACATCTCCCAGGCACATGAAAATACCAGAAGGCTGCACATGTAAGGGTGCATGCATTGCAGGCAGGAGTGCAAAGTGGCCTGCCGCGGCGGTCGGCTGTGCCATTACTCAGTCAGCCGCCGCTACCGTGCCGGGCTTGGCGTTCCCATGCCAACATGCCGGCGTGCCATCGCGCAAGGGGCCAGTGAGTGTGTGAGTGGAGGTGGGGGTGGTGGGGCTGCCGCTGACCGTTGCTTGCTGACGCTGACGCTGCTCTTACCTGCGGGGGGAGGGGGTGGGTCGGGAGCCAAGGCCGGGCAAAAGATGCCTGGGCCCCTACTCAAGGGAACCG